CATTTCGCTTTGCTTTCATACAATATGCAATCAATGACTAAACGTTTCAAAAGTCATGGATTCCTGTCTCACTCAAAATCCATCAACATCACAACATTACATTTTCAGAGGCCATTTTGCACATGCCTGCATACTGACCCTAAAAGACAGTCTGCAGGACACAACAAATCATCCGCTGGATGCAACTGAGGGTCATCCAGATGAGGGAGGGGGAGGGAAAGCATAAAGAAGACAGCTGGGCCACTTGTGAGCCAGAGCATCCTGACAGGGCATCCTGACCCACGGAGCCCAGCTTACCCAGCTCTGCAAACCAGATCCATCTCCGCCGTGATATACGTCCGCCACACTACCTGGGCCACCTCCCTGTTGAGACACCAATCCCCCACATGAACAGCTCCCCAAGAGAGTGCATCTGCTGCGCAGTTTACAACTCCTGGACATAGGCCACCCTCAGGGGCAGCAGACGTCCCTCCACCCAGAGAATGAGCCGTCGTGTCAGGACCAGGCACCGCCTGGACCTCATGCTCCCTTGGCAACACCACAGAAGTATTGTCAGCCCGAAGCAACACATCCCTCCCCATCAGCACAGACTTGAAGTGCTGAAGAGCGAGCAAAACAGGCATCAGTTTCAGCCGATTTACGTGCTGTCCTGCATACATCGGTGGTTCCAGACCCTCCACACAACCTGAAAGTGATGCATCCATTATCATCACTTCCCTTCCGCAGAAGACTTTGCTGATGCCATGGCAGCAGTGCCCTGATGCAGCTGTGAAAAATCCAGACAGGGGTGTTCCTGCATGGTACAGGAGACAATCGCATGGACCTCAGCCATCATTGGAGGGGACGCAGATAGAGGAAGCTGGGCAAGTAATGTTGTGGCAGCCAGCAACCTCGCCAGGCGGAGTCAGGCAGATAAGGCAAGTGACAGCCCCTGCAGAATCAAGCCAGGGTTGTCCTGAGCACAAGCTACCTAGCTGGAGTAAGAGAGCCCAGCGTCTGCTTGGAGTCCAGGCCCATGCCAATAAACTCTGCCATTTGGGAGGAATAAACAGAGCTCTTCTCCCAGTTGATGGGAAAACCTAGAGCTGTCACATACTACAGCAACTGCTAGGTATCTAGAGCCACCTGCTGTACAGAGGGCACAACAAGGAGCCAATCGTGGAGATATGGGGAGACCAGTATGCCCCGGCACCATAGGGGGTCTGAGGCTACTGTACCACAACGTGTGAAAACACATGGAGTTAGGGCAAGGCCAAATGGGAGAATGCAGAATTGATAAAGTCTTTCCTGAAAGGCAAGCACCAATGCTCCTGGGTAACAGGAACATGAAAGTATGCATCCTTGAGGTTGATCAAGGTGAACCATGCACCAGGCCTGATTGCCTGAGTGACATCCATGGTGCAGAGCATCCGGAATGGATTAATAACTCATCAATCACTGACAGTCTACAGTGTGACCTCTCTGGACTAGCTAGTATCAAGTAATAGTGTGGCTATGCAGGTTACATTAGCCTAAGCTGTGTGATCTCATGTCTAAGAGAGGATTTAGATTAAGTGTGTTTCCAATGTACATTTAGTATCTTGTGGGCATGCGAAAGTAGGTTGTGCATATGTGACAGGACAGGGGAAAGTAACATCATTTTATTTTTTTGCACAGGTCCCTTCAGGGGCTCTGTGATAATGACAGGTCTGCATGTACTGAATATTATGTATGTATGTATGTATACAGTATATGTACTTATCTATTTACCTTCATGTTCACAGAGGCCCCAGAACGAGTCATCGGCACAAAAATGGGGGGAGCTGCTTCTGAAATGAACCCCTCTGTGGAGTGTAAAACAATGAGAACTGAGAGGTAAGACTGACTCCGTGTGTCTGTGTGTGTCTCTGTCCTGCCCCCTTCTGTATGTCATTTCCCTCTTTGGCCAGCAGGTGCCGCTGAGTATCACGTTTGTTCTTGGTTTGTACTGTGCTCTCCTGTTCTCTGGGCTGCCATGTGGCTTAATGGGTGAAGAGGATGACTGTGTCATGGCTTGTCGTGTTTAACATTTATGATTTCTTGTAAAACCTGTGTTAGATATTATTTGATGTATTTCTGTAATGTTACATTCTGTTCCATTTTTTTCCAAGGACCCCTTTTATTATTCAATTTTAGAGCTTTACATGGGTTGGTTCCTCCTTATGTCACTGATTTATTATGTTCATTTACTGCATGAACATTGCTGAGGTCCTCTGACCAGCTTCTTTTGTCCACTCCAAGGTTCTGGCTGAAAACAAAGGGTGACCATGCATTTGCAGTAGTAGCACCAAAACTTGGGAACAGCTTACCTGTCCTGCCCCGATCGTCCCCTCCTTCCGTGTGCCACGTCCCCTCGTTAACCCTGTGTGGATTCCCAGTGTTTACCAGCTGTTCCTGATTGTTGTCATTAGTTCATTGTATTTAGTCCGCGTTTCCGTTCGTTTCCCCAGTCCGGTCATTAACGTCACGTGTCTTGATGTGTGTTACCCCGGAAAATAAATCCTTTTTGTGCATATTCACGGCTTCCTTCGCCTGCTTCCATGTTTATCGCATGACAAAATGACCGGACTCTTAAACAAGACGCCTCAGATCGGTGAGGCTGAATACCTCGACCTTGTGGACGAGGTTTTATATTGGCTCACCCAGCACGAAGTCCGGGAGGATCCCCTGCTTCGGGCTATAGCCAACCGGAGTAGGGACGTACTGGAGAAGATGTCCTTGCCCGGAGACGCATGCCTTACTGGAGAGGTGCGCGCACACTTGCGGCAGCTGAGACATGGGGTGGCTGACTGTAACATGCGCCGAGTGGCTTTGGACAGCGGACTCCCTTACGGTCTGCTGTCTGATCTGCCTGATGTGCCCCCGACTCCACCTACCAGACCGCTCTACCCAGCGGTCCTGGAGGTCCCTGTGCTGCCCCCTGCTCAGGCCACCATGGTACCCGAGGTTCCTGCCTTCACCCCCGAGGCCCCTGCTGCACCGCCAGAGGTCCCTGTGCCTCCTGCTGGCCTTGTGCACCTCTGCATTCCTTTAGGCCCACTGACCAGTCTGCCAGTCACCACCAGTTGCACCCCAACCTTGCTGGCCCCTTACACACCCCCATGTTAATCAATACCATGCAATCAAGCAAATAAAACTATGTCTTATATATTTGGTCCAGTAACCAAATTCATGACAACATATTCATTAGAGCTCATTCAACCAAATGATTCTTGAAATAGATAAATACAGCACACATGTAAGAACACACAGGAACATAAGCCTGTTTCTGCACTCAGATATTTATGACTGCTTTCTTATCTTCCTCTGCAACATGAGCAGCCAGTGTAGTACAGTGTAGTAAGTCTCATTCTTTCAGAAGAGATTATCTTACGATTATCTTCGCAAACAGGCAGTTTCAGCTCCCGGTTTCAGGTTCAGCACAAGACATACACACATACACATTCTTCTTGTCTAAGGCCTAAGACACTGACAACAATCCCACTATGCATCTCTCCCCAGCCCGACTGGAACTTTTCTTCCACACTGTAAACAAGCCTGTTTGCATCAAGAGCTTCACAGCATGTCAAAGTACAGGAAGGCAGAGCAGAAGGCTAAACAACTGAAGATTTAATGTGACCCTGTCCACATTGTATGAATTATATTTATATAATGAGTATTTTCCTCTCACTGTCCACAGTGTCCTGATGGAGAGAGCAGGCTCACCTGTACCCAGCTGTGTTTCCATGAAGAGTGACAGGTCAATGGAGCCCATAATCTACTTCAGAGACGAACCTTTTCCATCACATCAAAGGTAAATGTGCATTTAAACAAATAACACTCAGACTTTCAGTCAAAAGACATACAGGCACACACAAGCTATGAGGAAAAAGTCTTATAATGAATGCATCATTTTTTACCCATTGCCTTTGAGAATTTAAACAGAAGTTTTGTCTGTATTTTATTTAAATCATGTCTGAGGTAAAAGGATGAGGATTACTGTAAAGACTGGCTTCCTGCGAGCTGAAATTGGAAGTTAGTTAACTGAAACCTCATTTTAAATTTCAATCCTCAGCATGCAGCTAGAAAAAAGCAGAGTCACCTGCACTCTGCTGTATAGTGATTAAGCATGACTGGATAATAGATTGCCTTCTTCTGGGACGGATGTTCCTGCTTTGATAATAAATAAATACTGTAGCGTTCTCAGACAAGGACGAGGCGTTTTCCTGCAAAAGGGGTGTTTATTAGGGCTGTTGTCGGCCACCACCCACGCCGTACACACCCCGACTAGTGAGAGCCCCGAACTTGAACTACGAGGCGCTCCTCCCTTACACACGCCCCCCCCCGGGGCGGAACTTCCTCTCATATCATGAACAACCAATAACAGTTCGAAACGCAAAAAGGAATAAAGTGCAACTTTCACATTAACACATTGTGATCCCCAACCCAATAACATTCCGAACACGCTACACTACATTCTTATGGACTCATTAGATCTGCTCAGACTAGTAATAGCAGAGCAGTTTAGGTTTCATAAAGGAAACAGGAAGAGGGAGAATCCATTAATCAGTATGTGGCTGAGCTGAGAAAAATGCCTGAACATTGAATGACTTGCTGTGTGATAGATTAGCATGTGGGTTACGGAGTGAGGCAACCTGACAGCACCTGCTTACAGAAGGGGCCCCTCACCTTTCAAAAAGCCATAGAAAATGCTGTATCCATGGAGCTGTTAGAGAAGGAAGCACAGCAGCTCACTGTGGCATCTATAGTGCAGGCAATAGCAGCCGCCTATGACAGGCAGAGAGATGGCAGCAAGGAACGTCACCGCTGTGGAAGCAGAGTCACCACCCAGCAGAGTGCTGGACTAAAGAGTCACACACCACAGCTGTGGTAAGGAAGGGCTCACTGAGCGGGTTTGTAAGGCAAAGAGGGAGAAATCGAAGGAATTATACAGGGACAAGGAAAGACATGGAAAGAGAAAACAGACAAGCGACGTTCAAATAAGAAACTGCAGGCTGTAAATGAGGAGCAGAGCAGCAGCAGTGATACTGACTCAGAAGAGGAGCTACTGGTCAAAGTGCTGAGAGTAAAAGGTGGCACAGCAGCCAATGGTGTCACACCACTGGTGGAGGGACAGCCAATCAAGATGGAGACTGACACTTGTAATTTTTCTGAAAGCATCTAGGTTTATATTACTTATGTCACGTTGTCATTCATGGCAGACAAATAATTCACAGATAAGCTGAGTGTCACACCACGGGGGGAGCACGGACCAGGGAAACAGGATAAAGAGCCGCAGAATCGGGAAATGAGGGATTTATTGTGAACATGAGGCAAAACAGGTAGCAACGTCAATGACAGGGCTGGGGAAAGGCAGGGAACACTTGAATACAGGATTTCAATTAGACAAGACTAGGAACAGCTGGTAACACGGAGATTCCACACGTGGTTAACGAGGGGGCATGGCACACAGGAGGAGCACCACTATCGGGACGTGACACTGAGCCACATTCTGCTACACATGCAAGGCTCATGATGAAGACCTACACCGGCAAAACTGTCCACCTGACTGGAAAGGCAGAGGTCCTGATGGAACTGAACAGACAGAGGACCAGACTTCCCAATTATGTGGCTAAAGGGGATTACCCAGCATTGATGGTTAGAGACCATTTTCCTGGACTGGATTAAAGTGACCAAAGTGTCAGTGGATGAGACGAGGCCTTTAGCAGTGCTGAGGCGACATGCAGTGGTGTTCAAGGATAAACTGAAGCATGAAGGGGAAGAAGGTCAAGCTGCAGGTGAAGCCTGGCACCACACCATGCTTCATGAAGGCCAGGAAGGTCCTCTATGCACTGAAGCCTAAAGTCAACACAGAGAAACAGAGACTGGTTGAGTTTGGGGTTATTGTACTGGTACCACACAGCTGATGGGAAACCAGTAGTGCTGGATGATATAAAGGGAGACTCTAGACATTGAGGGAGATGTTTTGTAGCTTTGGCCTGCCTGAGTAAATTGTCACTGATGATGGGCCATGATAAAAGAGAAGGAGCAACAACCCATCACAGGACACAGTCACACCTACAGGGAACTTGGTAATTCCAGTTACCCTCAGCATGGTTTTGGATTGTGTTGGGAAACTAGAGTACCCAGAGGAAACCCCATGACAACACAAGGGGAACATGCAAACTCCACACACATGGAGCCATGCTGGAGACTTGATTCCTGCACCCAGAAGTGTGAGGCAACAGTGCTAACCACTGCACCACCGTACCACCCCACACACCTGCCACTGAAATTTAAAATGTTCTACTCTCCTGATACATTGCATTGACGCTTTCCTTCTGAAGCATTGTAACAGTCCACATGCAACCACAAGCACATTCCCAGTGTATCTCTTGATGAAAGGACAAGTCTGGACACGTCTTTACCTGCTGAGGCTTACATCTACAGAAGGAACTGTGCATGACAGCCAGCAAGGACAAGTTAATAACATGTCAAGTGATCCAAAGACAGTCAGTTCTCCACCAGAGACCTTGTCCTGACATTAATCTACGAAAGAGGACCCCTGCTATGATTCTAAGAAAGATGGGGCCTCTTTCTTACCATGTGCAGACCAGAGACATGCATGCTGACCACCGACATACAGGACCTGACACCCAGGAACGAGCTGACTTACCTAGGAGGGAATGTCAGGACCCACACCCACCACACCATGGGAGCCAGTGGCTGAGCCAGATCCTACGGAGCTGCCAGAGGTCACACCAGAGTCTGAGTCTGCTGGGAACCTGAGGTGCAGCCCAGCAAGAGACAGGAAGCCCCTGAGTATTACAGGCAGTCTAGTGTTAACCCTGGAAACAAGGGACAGAACAAATCCCTTTGGGGTTACTGTTTGGAGCCAAACGAGAAACAGGAGAGCTGTCTGTAATATTTGCCGATTTGGGGGAGGGGGGTATCTTGCCAGTGGATTGATTGGACAAATTTGTATGTTTGTATATTGTTATACATTTTATTTTAAGCAAAATTGTTATATAAATGGTTTGGCATGAACATTTGATCTATGTGTTTTCTTATTTAAAAAAGTTGAGACCAGCTGGGGGCTCCTAGATTGCGGGGAGGGGTTGTCCGCCCTCCCTAAATTCCGACCCTGGGTAGTTATGGTAATGAAGTTGAAATCTGTTTAAAATCATGTTGATCACTTTACAAAAAGTAACCAAATTGTGAATAGAGTGGATCATTACACCCATAGCCAGCAGTAAAGCTTACCAATCAGGTTGTGGGGCGGGAGCATCGATTGGGGGTGGATTGATCGGCCAAATATAAGACATATTATAATAGAATATACTATTTTATCCAAAACTGTTATATAAATGGCTTGTAGTAGACATTTGAATCATGTGTTTAAATAGTTATGGTAATTAAGTCAATATCTGTGTGAAATCATGTTAATCACTTTACAAGCAGCAACAGGTGAATGTTACTGAGTAACTGGGAGCTACAGTACATGCCAAACCGTCTATCCTGGCTGCTACCTGCTGTCTCTCTGTGCTGCCACTAGATGTCACTGCTTCTCTTATACAGTCATAAGCAAGCTGATGTCAGGAAGCCGCCCTAATGAAATAAGCTCAGAATGTGGATGGCAGTTACATCTATTTAAATACAAATGTAGGTTATTATTCCCCCCAGCAGCAGCAGTGGTAGTCAGTGTCAATGCAGGACCTTTGTCTCTCCATAAAATGCCTATTTTAGCAGCGGCACAGAGGGCAGCGCTGTGGCTTCACACCCCCAGTGTTGGAGGCTGAGCCCCCTGTCTGTCTGCAGCTGCACGCTCTCCCTCTATCACATGGGTTTCCTCCTGCCATCCAAAAACACGTTTAGGCTACTTTCTAAATTCCCCATGACATATGACAGTGTCTGTGTCCTGTGATGGACTATAATCCCCCCTCTAGGATGAACCTGTATCCTAGGCCTTCTGCTGTCTGAAATTGACCCCCCCCCCACCCTGCCCCACCCCCAAACCAGGATAAATGGCTGGAGGATGGATAGATTAATGGATGGATATTTGTGTTTTATTCGCAGGGGCCGAGAGAAAAGGTGTAATTCACACCCACATAAAGGAGACTTATCATCCATCTTCAAGGTGTGCATTTATTACTGAAGTATATTTTCTAAAATTTCATCTAAATTGCCATACAACAGATGTACAATAAGTAGTTCATCCTATCAAAGGGATGATATTTATAACTAATTCATAAGTGAAATTTATTAAATGATATCGTGCCAGGAGTGATAATAATTAAACTGTAACTGTTCATTTCAGTTACTGGAGGAAAAAGCTCAAATGTTTCTGAAGGATGAGCTGATGAAATTCAAAAGGTACCTGGATCAGAATGACCCAGAATGCTCTGAGCCTCAGCTGGAGGAGGACAATGACCTGGACAGTGATGGTCAGATGCAGAAGACCTGTGGTAGAGAGGGAGCTCTGAAGATCACACTGTACATCCTGAGGACCATGGAGCAAAATCATCTCGCTGACATGCTGGAGAAGAGTAAGAGCTCTACCTCATTCAGTGTGTGTTTGATTTGCCACAGAAACATTATGAAAAAATGTGTATTACATTTCAGTTTATCATTTATTTAATTTTATTTAATTTGGCTTATATGAGTAAAAAAATGTTTTTTGAAAAGCTCTCATTTCATTTCAGGGCATCTTCTGTCACAGTGTCAGCGCACAATCAAATGTAACCTTAAGAAGAAATTTGAGTGTGTATTTGAAGGGAAAGCTAAGGAAGGACAGCCAACACTTCTCAAAGAGATTTACACAGAACTGTACATAACTGAAGGGGGAGCTGGAGGAGTCAATGGTGAACATGAAGTGAGACAGATTGAAACAGCATCCAAGAAAAGGGTAACAGAAGATACTACAGTCAAGTGCAATGATATATTTAAACCCTTACATGGGCGTGTGACACCTATCAGAACTGTACTCACAAAAGGGGTCGCAGGTATCGGGAAAACAGTCTCTGTGCAGAAATTTATTCTTGACTGGGCAGAAGGAAAAGCAAACCAGGACATTCACTTCATATTTGCTCTTCCTTTCCGGGGCCTGAATTTGATTAAGGATGAATACAGTCTGATTGATCTGCTTCACCACTTTGTCCCAGAACTGAAATCGCTTGAATCCACTGAGTTGTGTAGATACCAAGTTTTGTTGATCTTTGATGGTCTGGATGAGTGTCGCCTTCCTCTAGATTTTCAGAACAATGAGAGCTGGTTTGATGTAACAAAGAAAACGTCACTGGATGTGCTGTTGACTAACCTCATTAAGGGGAATCTGCTTCCATCCGCTCTCCTCTGGATAACCTCCCGGCCAGCAGCAGCCAATCAGATACCTCCTGAGTGTGTCCACCAGGTGACAGAGATACGAGGTTTCAATGATGCCCAGAAGGAGGAATATTTCAGGAACAGATTTAGTGATCAGAGCCTGGCTAGCAGGATTATCACACATGTGAAATCATCAAGGAGCCTCTTCATCATGTGTCACATACCAGTGTTCTGCTGGATTTCAGCCACTGTTCTTCAAATACTTTTTAGTGAGATGGACAGTGGACAAATTCCAAGGACTTTGACTGAAATGTACACGCACTTCCTGATCTTTCAGGCAAGTATAAAAAATGAAAAGTATATGGAAAAGGGTGGAACCAAGCTTAAATACATTGAATCTGGAAAGGAATTCCTTTTAAAACTTGGTAAACTGGCTTTTCATAACCTTGAGAAAGGCAA